CTTAAGTGCCCATCAGCAGATGAGTGGATTAAAAAACTATGGTACACCCCTAGCCAGTTTGGCTCAGTAGATAGAGTGTCGGCCTGCGGACTGAAGGTTCCCAGGTTCACTTCTGGTCGAGGGGACATGCCCAGGTTGCAGGCTCAGTCCCTAGTGGGGGGCGTGCAGGATGCAGCTGATAAATGATTCTCTCTCATCACTGATGTTTCTATCTCTCTCTCTCTCCCTCTCCCTTTCTCTCTGAAATCAATAAAAATATATTTTTTTAAAAACTGTGGTACAGCTACACTATGGAATACTATGATGCTGTAAAAAGGAAAGAACTCTTACCATTCGCTACAGCATGGATGGATGTGGAGAGCACGTGAAATAAGCCAGTGAAATAAGCCAGTAGGAGAAAGATAAATATTGTATGTTCTCACTCATTTGTGGAATATAATGAACAACAAAACTGATGAACAAAAATAGATCCAGAGACAGAGAAGCATCGAACAGACCATCAAACCTCAGAGGGGCCCTAACCGGTTTGGCTCAGTGGATAGAGCATTGGCCTGCGGACTGAAAGGTCCCAGGTTCGATTCCGGTCAAGGGCATGTACCTTGGTTGCGGGCACATCCCCAGTAGGGGGTGGGCAGGAGGCAGCTGATCGATGTTTCTCGCTCATCGAAGTTTCTAACTCTCTATCCCTCTCCCTTCCTCTCTGTAAAAAATCACATAACCATATTTTAAAAAACACACAAAAATACCTCAGACGGAAGGCAGAGGTGAATGGGGGGAGGGGTTCAACCAAAGGACTTGTATGCATGCATATAAGCATAACCAATGGACACAGACAGTAGGGGGGTGTGGGCATGTGCTGGGGGGTGGGAGAGGCCAGGAAAAGGTCAATGGGGGAAAAGGGAGACACATAATACTTTAAACAATAAAGAAATTAAAAAAAAAAAGGCACTTGTTTTTAACGAGAGATTTTCAACTCTCAGGGAAAAAGAAATCAGGACCCAAGTAGAAAAGCAACTTATTTTGTATTTTTTAAAAATACATTTTTATTGATATTAGAGAGGAAGGGAGAGAGATAAAAACATCAATGATGAGAGAGAATCACTGATTGGCTGCCTCCTGCACGCCCCCTACTGGGGATCGAGCCTGCAAACCCAGGCATGTGCCCTTGACCAGAATCGAACTTGGGACCCTTCAGTCTGCAGGCTGATGCTATATCCACTGAGCCAAACCGGCTAGGGCAGCCGTGGGCAAACTACGGCCCGCGGGCTGGATCCAGCCCGTTTGAAATGAATAAAACTAAAAAAAAAAAAAGACCGTACCCTTTTATGTAATGATGTTTTCTTTGAATTTATATTAGTTCACACAAACACTCCATCCAAGCTTTTGTTCTGGCCCTCCGGTCCAGTTTAAGAACCCATTGTGGCCCTCGAGTCAAAAAGTTTGCCCACCGCTGGGCTAGGGCTTACTTTGTATTTTTTAATGGCTTAATTAAAGAAAACACTAATGAATTCATTTCAAATATCCAAACATGAGAAAAACTTTTATTCAAGAAATGCAAACAGGAATTTAAATAATAAGCTTTCAAAATTTTGCCTTGCCTATAGTAAACTCTCAATAATTACTATTGTCATTACAAATCAACAAGAAAACAATGGTGTATTCAAGAAACAGTGCTCAGTCCCTGGCAGGTGTGGTTCAGTTGGTTGGGTGTGGTCTTGTGCACTAAAGGGTTGCTGGTTCGATTCCAGTGCTGGGGGCATGCAGGAGGCAGCTGATTGGTGTTCTGCTCTCACACTGATGTTTCTCTCTCTCTCCCTTCCTCTCTTCCAAAAAAAATTTTTTTTAAGAAAAAAGGAAATAGTGCTCTAGTTAGCTACCTGTAAAAATATTTTTTTACTATATCATATATAATTCAAAAATAAATTTTGGATGAATTAAAGCAGCAAATGAGAAATGTACCTTAATATAAATGTTCTTTAATCTAGCATTATAAGATAGGAAAGAAAGATAATGAAGGAAAAATTAAAAAAAATTTTTTAAAGAGGGAATGGAAGAAATGAAAGAAACCTAAGAGGTTTGGAAACAGCCTAAGTACCCATCAGCAGAGGAGAGCTAGGAAGAAAAGGGAAGAGGCAGAAAGGAAGGAAAAATTCACCTGTTCCCAATATGGCATTGGCCACATGTGTCCATTTAACATTTCTTTGCCCTTTTCAATGTTCATTCTTTTATTCATTTGGATTTATTTTACTACTTAACTAGAGGCCAGGTGCATGAAAATTCATGCACTCAGGGGTGGGGGTGTCCCTCAGCCCGACCAGCACCCTCTCATAGTCCTGCATCCTCTCATTTACGGGGGGATTGGGCCTAAGCTGGCAGTCAGACATCTCTCTGGCAGCCCAGTAGCCCTCGGGGAATGTCCGAGTAAACCATTAGCCAGTCATCCTTAGCGCTGCTGTGGAGGCGGGAGAGGCTCCACCACCACCGCTGTGCTGGCAGCTGTCAGCCTGGCTTGTGGCTGAGCAGAGCTCCCCACTGTGAGAGCACACTGACCACCAGAGGACAGCTCCTGCATTGAGCGTTTGCCCCCTGGTGGTCAGTGTGTGTCATATGACCAGTCATTCCCAGTCTTTCTGCTGTTAGGGTCAGTTTGCATATTACCCTTTTACTGTATAGGATAGAGGCCTGGTACACGGGTGGGGGCCGGCTGGTTTGCACTGACGGGTGATCCAGAATAGGGTGGGAGTCCCGCTTGGGTGCCTGGCCAGCCTGGATATCAGGCTGATGGCTGTTTGCAGCTGGTCACACCCCCTTCAGGGTGGGGGTCCCCACTGGGGTGCCTGGCCAGTCTGGGTGAGGGGCTGAGGGCCGTTTTCAGGCTGGCGGGCGAC